TACACAGGACCTTTTGCACTAACAGACTGATATGGATGTTCAGTATGCTCTGGAATTTTTCGTTTTAATCACAAATTATGAAATATTCAATCTACAAATCCGGAACTCTTTCGCATTTTAGAATTCGTTGATGAACAAAACTGGTGGATATGAAACACCTATATGTTGAGGGATTACTGAATTTCCTCCAGAGATTTTATTCTCATTCGAAAAAAATTTAGATCTTGTAATAAAAATATTTTGTAGCTAATAAAAATGGTGAGGAAGCTATACTGACCTTTTTTGGCGGACGTTTTTTATTTGGTCCAACTGTTCAGAATTTTTTTTATTATTTTAATAAAAATTAAAAAAAAAAAACATTAAAACGCTAATATGGTCGGTTTTGGAACGAATTAAACTTCAAGCGGCGATTTGGAACATGGATTTGACGGATTGGAAAAAGGTTCATATAGGTTTGATTTGGGAGGATAAAAATGATTAAAATTGTATTCTAAAAATGAAACGTTTTATTTACAATAATTTTCTAATAAAATAAATTTATTTTTAATTTTCATTCAAATGAAACATTTATATAAATCTTTTGATGAATTATTTTTTTTTAATGGTGTGGAAATGATTGACTGTGATGAAAATATGATAAAGATTTGGTCGAAGAGAGGGGAGGGGGAGTCAAATTATTTTATAATTATAATATTCAATTATAATTAATATTTTAATATAATATTTGATAAATATAATTATAATTTGACCGCACCACTGAGCAACTCCTTCTCATATATTTTTTTAAATATTTTAGAAATGTGAGTATATTTGTTAACATGCAAGTATATATATATATATATGTGGATATATATATATATATATATATATATATATATATATATATATATATATATATATATATATATATATATATATATATATATACCTTTAAAAAAAAAAACCTTTTGGAAAAAAATAATTGTACCAGTGGATTGGTTTGCTCTTTTTAAATCGGAAGCGATTCTTATCTCGATTTCCGAAAAATCGATTACTTTGGGAATAAGTGACTCAAATGGTCTGTTACTTTATCTTTCACGAAGGGTGAACAATGAAATAGACCTAGATGCAACTTAACTAAGCCACGAATCGGGTGTCATCACTAATGAATGAAAGTTAATGAAATGTACTATTTCATTACAGATGGGCCTAGAGAGGAAAAGAAGAGCATAGGTGGAACTAGGTCGCCTGTGGTGGGAGTTCCCACCACCCCCAACTTAGGGGTATAAAGAGTTCTTCCTCTCCTCCGTAGTCCATAGTCCAGTTTCTGCCCCGTCTCGACATGTACTCCTCCATAAAGGTAAATCATCATCATCATCAACACTAAATCAACATCCGAGGGGAAATTTAAATTTGGACATCGCAGGAATTTGTGTTCGCATGGGATATTCCGTTTCCGCTTCAACAACATCGACTAACTAATTTCCATATTCATACAAGGAAGTGGATTCTGACATTTTTAAAATTGCATAAAATCATATTAGTAATGATCGTGAATAAGTGAATTTCTTATTAGTTTCTAAATTTCCGTGTTGTAGTGTTTCAACTAACTGGAGTTTAATATTCATTAAAAAAAAAGAGTAATGTGACTATAATTGCAATGTAAATCTAGAAATGTTTAATGAATAAATGCAAATATTAAATGTCAACTTTTAAAAATAATGCAAATTGAAAAAATATATATTTAAGAACTAATTTTAATTTAGAGATTTTCGAAATTGTAAATTTTAAATTTACTTCTCATGCTATAGCAAATAATGTCGTAATAATAAAAATAATGATTTATTTTTGTTTCTGAAATAATTTTTTAAAAAATTAGATCCATGTTTGTAATATAAAAATTTAAAAGATCATTGTGTAGATAAAATATTTTATTTATCATAATATAACAAAATAAGAACATTAAATTTTAATATTTAAAAAAATATATGCTTTTTCATAATTAAACAGTAGTTACGCAGATATCAATACTTCAAATTTTTATATATTACAACCATTAATAATAAATGAATAGTGAAATAAATAGTGAAACAAATTTAGAATGTAAGCGTGTTCCTACTATATATAGATTTTTAAAATTATTAATGAGAACATAATAGTTTATTAAAAAAACAAATTACATTTATATATATAAATATTATAAGTCTTATTTAAAATGCTGAATTTAAAAAAGAAAAGAATATGAATTAATGTAGGTTCGTATCACAATGCTTTTATAGATACAAATTCTACTTTAAATAATATAGTAAAATATCTATGTTAGGCAGCGATGAATTTCTATGTTTCAAGTCATATGTGGAAGGACATGTGGATTCTGTTCAATGAATTGAATAATGTCACGTTCATATAAATTTATTTAATTAAGTAACCAACCTATCGTTATTATTATAAGATCTAAATTTAAGCGGGGTGGCCGAGCGGGCTTTTTTTTTTTTTTTTTCAATTTTCTCATCTTTTAGGCTTTACGAGGTTTTTCTGAGACAGGGGATATGGCCGGGGAATTAATGCCAGAGTTAAATTCGCTCGTGAGTTAAAAGTACGCAAACTCGTAATTTTTGCCTATCTATAACGTCGGTCATCAGATTTTCGTGTTGCTTGTGCAAAACATTAGACATAAAATAATTATGAGATCGCGTCCCGGTGCAGGGGGATTTTAACTGTATCCTCCGCCCACTCCTCTGGTTAGGAAAATCTCTTTGTAGCCTAAACGGTGAAGAAGGGGTGGGCGATATAAAAACAAATCCATTAATGTTGTCATAAATTAAATGTTCAAAAAAAAAAAAAAATGTCAGCATTTAAAGTGTAACATTGCCAAAACATATTTTATAAATTTCATTAATATCATAAAAATCTTATGAATTCAGAGTGATTTTTCGTGTATTAGAAGTGATACGTTTAGTCCTTATTAAAATCCAACTTTAAACGCTTGTTCGAAAAAAATAAAAATTTCTTTTCCCATGCAACAAATGCACTTTCTACAGTAACAAGAAAGTAGCATAATAATTTTTTTTTCTCGGTATAAACATTGTGGTTCAACTGGTTTTGCATTTAACAAACAGCGATCAGATTAATTTAAATCGGATCAAAGTTTACATAACTGTTTAGGCTACATCAGGAAGAGCATTTTTTTTTCTTTTATGTATTCTAAATCATTTGCATACGGAAATTTATATTAACCTTAGTACTAATACATATACTTCATTTCTTCCTTCTGCTGTGGGTTTTGTAGTAATTTCGTTTTGTACAAGTCATATGTTTTTTTCAGTATAAATATAACAAAATACATTAAAGTGAAAAGAATTAAATAAATATATGTTGTAAGAAAGCGATAAATTTATTTATTTTAAACAAGCACTTCACTTTCGATTTATGTATCAAATTAAGTTTACCAAAAATAATTATAATATATATCTAAAGAATTTTTTTTTTTTTTTGTTCTTCGAAAATTAGTTCCATCTCCTTGCCAACAAGAGGTCATTCATAAACAAAATAAATAAATGTTAAATGTTTTGAGTTCCTTTAAGCTAACTTGTATGTCTAGAGTTAGCAAAAAATAAATTAACCAAAGCATGATACAAAGGTTTAATAAAATAAATAGATAATAATAATAGTTTTTTTAAAAATTCTTTGAGAACCAATATAAGATACTCTTTAACAGTAGTGTTATACCGACGTTGGATGGGTATCGTGTAGGGAAAAAAATGTTACTGTTAGGGAGGGGGGGGGGAGATGTGTTTTGTTTTTGTCAATATTACCTCTTTAACGGTTCAAATGCTTTTTTCTTATTTTTGTTCTGCAAGATTTCGGTTTTCATCAAAATTGCCGTAAAACATTTTTTTTTTCTCTGGGCTGCAGCATAAAAACAGTTTTAACGATTTTGATTGAACTTAATATAAGTTTGCTCCTACATGGTCTGCAAAATCGAAAAACCGAAAACGGTCTGCAAGGAATTCCTCAAAAAAACAGAAAAAAAAGTTTTTAAAACAGATATTTTTTCGTATAAACCAAAAAGTATTAATTTTATGTTAAATTTTCAACAAAAAAGAAAAAAAAAATCAAAGGAATTGGACCACAACGAAGGAATTTTGTGTGAATATTTCCTAAGTTAAGATTTTCATTTTTTAATTATCAGAATAACTACATTTATCACATTTATTAATGTACCTGCATTTATCACTTACTTAGCTATTCCGAACGCTTTGCAAATTTGGGAATATTTATTTAAAATCATTTAGCAGGTTCAAGCTTCTTATATTTTTGACCGAAACGTCATAAGAAAGTATTAGCATAAAACTACCGTTAGTGAAATCTGACATTTTCATCACTGATTTGTAATCGATAAATCTGAGTTCTAGATTGGATACTATTGGTCAGATTCTATAGCTTTGTAATTAAATTAATAAAATATACGTTATATCTTATAATAAATATAAGTTATCTTATTATTAAGACTGAAAAATAAATTTCAGTAAAATTCATGTTTAAAATCGTCTTTGAAACGGCTACATATGGAAATACGTACATTACCACTGTATAAACTACTGACACGTTTTAACGGTTAATTACTTTACTTATCGTTTTTGTTAAAATACTGGAAGATTTTAGATAAAAATAATAAGTATTTCGTTTGCTCCTCTCGCGCCGAATATAAATTTGATGTTTTACGTTGGATAGTTGAAACATTCTTCAAACATATTTTTTTCTAATAACGCGAGGACAAATAAATAACTGAAATACCTAAAGGTCATTCATTTATTTTCCTTTCCGATATCAGGCTCTGCCATTTCATAAATAATTATATCATTGCTGCTTTTTAATTGCAACGACTAGTTAGTTACATGATACACTCCACGAACTTGGAGAGCGGGTGAAAGATCTGCGCTTTCTCAGCGCCATGCTATTAGGAGCGGATGCACTGGCGCCTAAATAACCGACCCTGAACTCTTTTCCAGTTGGTCTTGATGCTTGTAGCCGGCGCGATGGCCGATTACGACGGAGGTTACAGCACGGACTTCGGTAACCAGCTTAGCGGAGGATACAGCGGAGGTGGGTACTCCGACGGAGGCGGCCACTCTGGAGGAACCGGATACTCAGGAGGTGGTGGATACTCCGACGGAGGTGGTCACTCTGGAGGAACCGGATACACCGGAGGCAGTGATTACTCTGGCGGCGGAGGTTATTCTGGAGGCAGCGGTTACTCTGGAGACGGTGGACATACAGGAGGAAACGGACTCGGAGGACACGAGGAAGACCACCATCAGGTAAGGATACATAATGCAATTCAAAACTTCTAAATATTTACCAGAGACATTCACTAATAATACTGACGTTTGTCCAGTTCTTTATGCATTTAACACAATTATCTTCCAGTTGAGTGAGATATTCCAAAAGTACTTTCAGTAAATTCGTTAGAATTCAAATTAAACTTTCTTGGTGCTCGTCTACTTTTAATAAATGCTGAAACCGAGATTTAAATTTAATAACGGAAAATCGAACTCAACAGTGTTTAACTCAATCACTGCACATCACCTTCACGCTCCGACAAGACACATGTACTCCAGTTTGTTTATAAACAACGGTCCCATTCAACAATAAAATGAGACAAAAACTAATGTATGAAATAGCTAAAAATATTCAGACTTTCCAATCAAAAACTTTAATTCTCATTCGCCTTGGTAGGTCAGTAACAAAACATTACACACAGACTTATACATAGCCATGGTACAAGATCACATTCAGACTCCATATAAAAATTCCATAACAAACTTCACGGACATATTAACAAACCAATAAAAAGCATGATCACAACACATATGCCAGAAAACGCCCGACGAAGGTTGAAAAACAGCTGTTTAAGAGATCTCGTGAATTATTGTTATTTCAAGATAGGCGTTGATGCCGATTGGTAACAACCTCCCTCATGCCTTACATACCATTTCTATCAATTAACATCACATCCGTTTGTTTTTGCAGGCTGCAACATAACATAAAAACATATTAAAGAATTTAAAATTGTGTATATTAATGTCAAATAATTAAATATTTAATACATCTAATCCAAATCCATCAAGGATTTCTAGTAGCTTTTCAATTTTCTACTGACATAGGCGGAACACTTTTTGTTTTCTCCTCTATAAGTATAGGAAGTTGTCAACTAATTACGTCTATTAAACAATCCATTTGAAGACTTCCTTATTACGTTTTCTCTCGAAGACATATTTGCAATAAAGTTAAAGACCTCACTGTTACAGGGTAAAAATTCAAATGCTGTCATTGCTATTAGTCATTTGTAAATGAATTGATATTAAAGTCGTGTCATTTTTATAACAGTAGAAAATAAAAATTCAGATATTTTTATTAAAAACTGAAAAATGTAGAAATTAAATAACAAATATTAAAACCAAGACAATTTTTTTGTTTTAGACAGAAATATATGCTTATACAAAAATGGAATAGGTAAAATGACTTCTGTAAATTTAGTATACATTTTTTATATTTCTTACGTTTTGAGAATATAATCGTTCAGCTTATATTCACGCTTACTTAATGTATTTTTAAAAATATTTTATATCAGTTATAACAAATATCTTTATTGATATCAACATTCATTTTTTACAGAGAAACAGTAGTATGATTATTAAGGAGGTGTAAAAATGAGTAATGTCTAAAGGAAAATGAACAGGAGGATTTACAAATAGAAAACAGGGTGTAATTCTGAAATTAAAAGGTGGTAGCAAAATCTTGAAAGATTCACCAAAAAAAAATTAATCGGTATGATAGATTGTGGGTTTATTGGAAAAATCATTCACTTCGATGAATTTTCTCTCGGTGATATCAGAACACCACACTTGATAGTATAACTAATTTTAATAGATAAAAAGGTTTGTGTCATTGTGATGCATTTATTACTATAAGTTTTACATCGACAAATAAGGTTTGATTTATAAAAACATACTCAAAAGTACAGTAACATAAAAAGCATAAGGCATTCAAATCAATAGGTATCTATCATAAAAAGAATGTATTGAATGACGGATGGAAATTTAAGCATTAAGGGAAGTTTTTTGTTACCTATGAACTCGGAAGAAAAATCACTGCTGTTGTTTAAGAACAAAGATTTATAAAGTAAGTTTTAAAAATCGAACAGTAGAAAACTGAGCCGTTTAAGTTCTGTGCCCCGAAGATAAAGTAAACCATGTCCATTTTTTAAATAAATAATTTAGGAATAAAGAAACAAATTTATATAGTTCAAAGTCATGGATAATTGGATCCCTGAACAAACACAAAAAGGTAAAAGGGTTTACTTTTCCTCAGGAGTACAGATTTAGTAACTAAGACCCAAATTATAATAGGTCAAAGTTATAGAATATTGACTCATCTCAACAAATAAAAAAAATACATAGTTTTCTTTACTTTAGTAGTACAGAATTATATCCTGGACGACGCAAAAACTATTAGTTTTTCTACTTTACGCTTAGCCATTTAAATACTATTGCTGAATTCAATCGAATTCATTAATAAGAATCAGAACCACAACTTCCTCTAGAATTGCGATACGACCAGTTGACCGTGTCACCGCAATGTTACGAGGTCTCTGTCTTCGCCGGGTATCATCCGTGAAACGTCTTCCACATCCTTGCAGATGTATTGTTGCATCATTGCGAGGGTGCGTCTGCTTCGTTGATTTAGGACTGTTGGGAAAGATATTTTAATTGTCCTCATGGGATTACGATCATACACCGGAAACCGGGAGAATGGATCGATAAAGGCTTTTAGCAATGACAATAGATTAAATGAATTGAAAATTATCGGAAGCTATAGTATTTCTAACCCTTATAATCAGAGAGGAGATCTGATCATAAAAATGGGAGAAAAATAATTACACCACGTCTAACTCAGTCAGGGCGAGACCGCCCTATTTTTGTACCTTCTTCCACCCTAAAAAAACCAGCAGTATTTTAGGTAATAAATATCAACACATCATCAGACAAACTCATATCATGAAGTAATACATTAAGGTAAAACACAAGCCGAAACAGCAATTTATTATTGAACCTAAAAAACACAGCCTCCATAAAAATTCTGCCGCCAGTAGAAAGAACCTTGCCCATCCTTGATTCAGGTATTGTGGTCACAATGTAAAGATAAAAAGGAATCCGATTCGGAGTATCAAAACAAATTAGTTGAACAAATATTTTAAGTTTTTACGATATTTTACTGATAGGTGAAATATATGCTGAACTAACAGATATTCTAATCAACCAATTAAATAATTAACAAACATTCATTTAATTCATTTAAATAGTGATTTTAAACAGAAAAGATGGCTTGCAAAATTAAGATTTCATAATATTCAAGGATAAGTTAATGAAATCCAATGTTTTATTTTATGTTGGTTATTATACCATAGTAAAGATTTTCAAGTACTTGCAATACTTTAGACTAGAAGATAAAAAAAAATTCATACAACGAAACAACTTAAGTCTGGACTTTTTTTTAAATTCTAGATGATCCTCTTCTGAACAAACAACGTTGGTCAATAACTTAAAAGCCTTTGATTTATTTATGAAATTTTAAATAAAATTAGCAGTATTTAACGGTTCATCCAAATAAAAAATAACACAGCTGAAATGTGAAAAGAGAATTACCTCCTACTCTGTTGCATTTTGAAAACTGGCCAAGTCGCAGTTACCAATCAAGTCTAGCCAAATAGTAGTTGAGAGTAGGCAAAATTCAATTAGTCAGTTATTTTTTTGGAGTGCTGAATCTGAATTAGAAGTTCACTAGCGATATTCCAAGCGATTTTGAGATTTTATTGTTAACGCTATTGTATGCAATTAGTACATTAAATATTAAGTACATAAATATTTACCATGATTTTTATGCAATGTTTCTTTACTGTAGAAACAAAGGATGAGTAGTGCATAACCTTCAAAAATAGAGTTCTTTTTGTCCATTTTTCGCTGATAGCTCATAATCTATGCATCATTGAAAAAAAAAGAAGGACTCTGTATAAATTAAAAGAGTAGTTAATATAGTACAGAGTCAGTTTTCAAAACGCAACAAGGTAGGCCATGAGCCAAGGTGAATTATCTCTTAAAATTGCATACTAACCACAACCGGCGTTTTTCAGATTAAATGAACCGTCAACTTTCGCCACGTTAATTTAAAATTTCATATACAAAGCAATGGCTTTGAACCGATTGACGTAATTGTTTGCAGATGAGTATTATCACGAATTTAAAATTGTTTCTATTTCCTTGAATCCGTTCCCAGTCTGGTTTGAACCCATCGACGGGGAGATACGTTAATTTAAATTAATACTGTATTAGATCATAACCGACCAAACTAAAATAGAGGAAGTGAAAAAATTAAAAACTACCCGTTCTCCCATCGGGGTGACAAAATCAACTCAACTACCTCTCGTAACAACAGGGTTATGACGTAACTGTTAAAAAAAACAACTAATAACCCGCTATGACGTTATAGGCAACTGCAGAGAATAATTAACTCTGAGGGTTCGAGAGACTTACGTGTGTTTGTAGGCGTAGGAAATCGGAAATTAGACGACCCCGCGGAGCGTAGACATTCCTCTCGTGCGATGAAGATCAGGATGTCTTTAGAGTACGGTTTGGTAACTAGAAGAACGCATCCTCGACGTACTGGAGGACTGTTACCATTACGCAACCACAGTTCCCAAGTTACATAGGACGTGATCCTGCCCATCTGTTTACGGTCGTCTTGAGAACATTTTATCATCGTGGTACGATTATAAGTATTTGATTAGGAGAGAACCGTGGGAAATAGTTACATGATTTTTTTCTCATAACATACACGCAATATTTACAATAGAACTTAATAATGAGGTTGATCAATATTTGTAATATGGTTATTTTTTACAATCGAAGTTTCATAATTAGTTAAATTTGACCATAATCTATTATAAAAAAAAAAAAAAAAAAATATATATATATATATGCCGAGAATGCAGAAATAAGGCAATAATAATAAATTAAGTTTTAATGATAGCTAAACTATTGGACTTAAAGGATATTTTTCCGTGGGCTTGGTTAATTATTTGTCAAGTAAAATGGTCCTTTAATAAACTAATTGTTAAGTATGCAAGTTCACCAAGTGTGTTGTTAATTTGGATATTAGGAATCACAAATAAAATAAAATAAAGATTAAACAGAACTGCTGAATGCTGAGTAAGGCCTTAAATTTTAATATCTAAGATCTAAAAAAATAAATAATGTATCAC